AAGTAAAAATCTCACCGACAGTTTTAAAATATTAAGGCACAAATCTGGTCGTCGACATTGAAATGTTGGTATCGTTTATGTTAATGAAAACTGAGTAAAAGGAAAAAAAGATTGAGCCGAAATTGAAGCCCTATTAAAAGGTCAACCATTACCAGCCAAAAATCAGACCAGCGAAGAAGGAGAAGAACAAATTATAGAATATTTTCGTAATAATGATATCCACACAATCACTTTGGACGACGATAAACTAGTTATCAAATACAACAGTGGGAAGGAAAAAACCCACGAAATTAATAATCTGCAACTACAACTTATTAAAGAAATAGTAAGCCAACAAAAAAATCAATCCCTTTCTCTATCTGATATTAAAAACACTACTAATCCTTCCCAGCCTTCGCCAAGTAAAAACAATTCTGTTCTTATTGTTAGTTTAGTTATTGGAGGAATTATTGTTAGTGGCTTAGTGATAGTTTACTTGGCGACGCGGAAGAAAAAAAAATAATTAATATTCTTTCTCTCTCTTCTTGTTAAAAATCTATAAAACATTTTTTAAAAATGTGGAGCAACAATCTCATATATCCGTGTGGAAAATATAAAAAATATAATTTGAAGAGAAAGTAAGAATTAAGAATGGAAATTGACATGAATAAATATTATATTATAAACAAAGAAGATTAAAGTAGTTAATATGAACCAAAACGACAATTCAAAAATAAATGTTGGCTTCCCGTTAAGTCCGGAGAACCGAAAAAAGTATCAAGAGGGGGTAGATTACAAAATCGAGGATAAGGGAGGCGGATTTAAAAAATATATCATTCTTTCTGAAAAGTTGCTAGCGGATTTTCGAAGATTTAATAGAGGGCAAGATTTGGGAAACAATAATATTGTTACTGAACAAAGTGGCAAGGTCTTATCAGAAAATCCCGAAAAATTAGTTAGGCAAATAAAAGAAGAAATTGAAAAACACCGACAAAAATTCATTGCCGAAAATAATCCGCCTAATTTTCAAAAAACTTATATTCCTCTCTTTGATGCCAACGACCCGAAAGACTTACATAATTGATGGGCCAAGCAACCTGCTTTTACGAAGGATGAGTTAAATGCTCTTAATGACCCGATTTTGGAGCATTGTAGCGATTGAAACCAAGCCTTATGATTTATCCAAAAAGTCCGGCAAGTTGACGACCCTCTTTTTGCCGAGGAATATTTTGCGTGAGGCGACTTTATGGATAAGGAATTAAAAGATACTAAACATAGTAGTTATAAAACCGTTCAAGCCCTTAAAAATGCCGGAATTTCCTTGGACAAACTTTTTGAACGAGTGGAAAAAGGTCGCCAAGCCAGAGCGAAAGATCAGACTAAAAAACAGCAAGAATACAGAGAAAAAATATTAACTAATTTAGATGATTGGACTCTTTACTCAAATGGCATTTATAATGATAAAAATCATGTTGCGATAGAATTGAGGGGAGATAATATTGTCCGCGTTAACGCACAGTTAGTTGATACAGAGACTTTGCCAACTTTGGAAATTTATCAAGAAGTTCGCCGAGCCATATTTAATAATCTTTTGAAAAAAATCCAAGAAAAAAAAGCCAACAAAGAAAATTTCAAAAAAGAAGACTTTTCTCCCCAAGAATGGACCAAAATCGAAAAAGAAATTAGTAAACTTTCTTCTGCTTCTCAAAGCCGCAAGAACTCCCAAAAAAATCCTTCAAATCACAATGGTTTAATTACCATTATAGTAATAATTAGTTTAACAATTTTAATATCAAGTTTGTTAGTAATAAAAACACACCAAAAAAAGCATGGTCCTAAAAGATAGAAAAATAGAAAATTTACAACTTCTCAACGAAAATATTCCCTTTTCCCAGGTTCTGCTAGTTACCAGCAAAGAAGAAAAAGAAGTTATTTCTCGCCAAGAGGCATTAGACCGAGCCAAAAGTCTTGGCTTAGACCTTTTTTGCGTTGCCCCTACTAAAAATCCTCCGGTTTGTAAGTTAATTAATTATCAAAAACACCTCTTTGAATTAAGCAAAAAAAAGAAAGACAAAAAAGAAAATAATTGTAAGGAAATAAGATTTTCTTTTAACATTGGAGAGAATGACCTAAAAGTTAAATTAGGAAAAATTGAAAAGTGAATAGGAGAAGGGGCAACGGTAAAAGTCAATTTAGTGATGGTTGGCAAAGAAAAAACTCGTCCTGATTTGGCCCAGGAGAAATGTCAAAAAATAATTACCGAACTAAAAACCAAATCTCCCAAGATTGAGTTAAGAGAAAATATTCGCCGGCATCTTGGCACTCTCTATTTCTTTCTTTACAAAAAAAGGCAATAATGCACCAATATGAGCCACTATCTAACCAAAACCCTTGTTCTTAAAAAATTGTGATTATTGCGAGAATATCCAAAAATATTAATAATATATGTCGCGTAAAGGAAAACCGAACTTCACCAACCGAACAAAAAAAATAATTAACTTTCTGAGAAATGGCTTTCGAATACTTTTTCTGATTATTTTTCTACATTGAATCCTTTGACTTACTTCCTATGCTAACTGCGTTAACTACCAGGAAGCCATAAGCGAAGAAAATGTTAAACAAGAAGAAAAAGAATTAAAAGAACATGACGATAAAACTAAAAAATACCAGCGCTTCACGGGATGATTTAACGAAAGAAAGGAGAAGAGTGTTGAGGAAATTGAGGACAATGTATTAAGCCAAATTGAGAAAAAGAAAGGTCTGGGTGATAAAAAAATTCCGCGGAAGTGAAAAGAGGAAGAGGATGAATTAAAGAAACTATATCAAGAAAAGGAAGAACTACGAAAAAAAGAAAATCCCACTAAGGAAGAAAAGGAAGCATTAGAAAAAAAGGAGAAAGAATACAATGAAAAATTTGAGAAAGCCAAAAAGAAAATTATCACAAATATTCAAGACCAATTAACTCAAAATAAATTGAATATTACTGAATTAGATGACAATAGAAAATGATGGCAGCAAATGACTTATGA